TATTAGTTTGTGTGCGTATGTATTGATATATGGCTATAGATATGAATGGTTAAATCAAACTGGTTAGGAAAAAGCAGACAACACAAAAGAGTTCTGTTCCTATTGTTTACAAAGCATCCCAGGACGCACCTGCAGAGCTGGTATCTAGACAAGAGTGGCTATATAATATATATATACTTTTTTTTTCATTTGACATCTAATTCCCATACTTACATTTGCGTTATTCGATCATTTAAATCGCTTTTCCTATTAGACTAAAATGCTATTATATACTCAGTACAAATCCAACATAGGGTAATAAACGTGATAATTTCACAACTGAGACGTTACCGCACAGAAGCTATCAAAACCATCTTACCTTGCGTTTAAGCAATCTCCTTCCGTAAGACGCGTCTTTAATAAAGTCTTCCTCTATAGAAATGAGGCGCGTGAGAATCTCGAGCAGTCGCGCGAGGCAGCTCTCTCGCGCTCTCGCCGTGATCGTCTTCAGCCTGCGGGGCTCCTTCGTCAGCTCGCCCGGACGAACGGCTTCTTTACCGGCCAGTAAAGCACCTGAACACTGGCCCTCGCCATCTCTATTACTGGTCGTTGCGTGAGCTTGCAGTTCATTGAGGATGTTTAAAGCGTCGATCTGATGTGTTAAAGAGCAGAGCCCCATGTCTGCTGCCACCTGGTCAAGGACAGATCAGCAGCCTTGAGCAGAGTCACTGTTGAGAGAGAGAGAGAGAGAGAGAGAGAGAGAGAGAGAGAGAGACGGGGCGGGGCTGTGGGCGACACTCTAACATTTAAGGATATTACAAGGTAAAATGAGAAGTTTGAAGTTTGAACTGACTCAGCTGATTTAAGTGGTCATCAACACTTCCTCTGTTGGATGGTAAATCTTAAATCTGAAAAACGTTTACTTGTGTTAATACTCACAAGTAAAGGATTCTTAGCAGCTTCACACATAAGCCAATTTAAGATGAGTCAGATGCCATCTAATGGATTCTCCAAACTGAGTGATTTTGTGTCTGTCTGAGTGGTTTTGTGAAGTCACAGAGCACAAAAAATGTGTGCATGGCGTCCTCTACTGATCAGACTTGATATAGACAATCTCCGAAAGTCTACTCATCCTAAATGAGTGTTTCTTTTTGAACTTTTTGAATGAATTCCCCCTTTTGTCCAACCCAATACAACATATTTCTTGTATTTCTGCTAATTGATAAAACTATAGGCTATCTGTTATGACAAAACTGTTTCTTCCCCCCAAAATTGGGATTACATTAAATTAACGAACCACAATTTAAGAACTGTGTCTTCTTCAGTAAACACAATAATTACTACCAAAGGTAGAAAAAAAGAAACGTAATCTAAGATTACATCTTGAGTTTGTGCTTTAGGTTTAATTTAAGTTCAGAATAATTTATTCATTTAAATACTTAAAATAAGTCCTTAATCATCCTGTCCTACATTTAGGTTTACCAGCTTGACATTTTTAAATGTACATTACATAAAATAGTTCTTCTGTAACAAATAATACAAAATTGCTTATAATTTAAGTTCTTCTTAACAGTCTTAAATTACTGTTCTAGACCACAAAGCATCGGTTACTTTGTCTAAACCGTATATTTCATAATTTAAAACAACTTTCTTATTATGAACATTTAGCACTTTTCATGTTTCTTTAAAATAAATACCACTTGAATTTATATTTTGTTCTACTTTGCTTGATATGAAATTCTCTAATACTTTTTGGGCCAGAGCATCCCTGTTCATTCACATTAAACATCCAAAAACACTTGAATTATCTTCAGAAACTGGAGCATGAGATGTTTATATTAGTAAAAAGCTGGTTTTGTGCACCATCTAGTGACAAGAGAGGATTCTACACATGCTACATTTGCACACACAGCAAAAGCGTATATTGATTTCGGAATGCTCAAACCTGGAATTCATAACCAGATATTCAGGACTAAGTGTGTTTGTTGTAACACTGAAAATGATTTTATTTGGAACATAGTTACACTGGAATTCACATATACAAATGCATATTTTCACACACCCTCCCCCACCCAATTCACTCCTTAACACTTTCTTTTTAGCAGGTGGCAGACGGCCACACCAGCCCATCCAGAGGTGTGACAGCCATCCCACCCACTGAGCTGAGAGTGAATTCACCACCATCAGCTATTAGACTTGTTTTACCTGTAGTCAGCTAGGCACAGACGCATGATACTGGTATGTGTCGAGAGAATGTTGTTCTTAGGCTTGAGTACTGACAATTCTATGGCAAATCACTTCTCGTGAAGATCAACACCTTCAACCAGAATGTGAAGCATCATCACAATTATCAAAAATTATAGATGATTCACAGATAGTTCATGGCTTTTTATGTTTCCTTAGAAAAAGGTCGTGTCTCCTTATTTAGATCCGCTTTATCTCCTCTAAGGTAGTTCCTTAGAATTCACAAAGTGATCTTCAGATATCAGGGAAGGAGTTAGAAAGCTCCCTCAGTTTGTGAGTTGTTTCAGTGGATGAGGGATTGTTTTCCTCTAGCACATATGCGAGTAGGTTACCCACAATAAGTCGAAGACAGTGCCGAAGTTCCCTCAAGTCTCTGTCTGAGTGAGAACCACTTTCTGCAATAGCCATTCTCAGGCATATGTTCTTCAGGTCAACACTGTCCTGCAAAGAGATTACACAAATATGGCTAATAAAAAAAAATCCAACAGGCCAAAAGTTCAATGCGGGTGTTCAACCACAGAGTTGCATAAAGAAAGATCAAAGTTGGCACAGCACAGCTCCAAAAGTATAAAAATATGTGGTGAGAACATAAATATTTTTTATAATTTTGGAGCTGTGCTGTGCCAACTTTGATCATCTTTTAATTAAAACAGAGCTCATAAATAAAATCACACGCAAACATGGGCAAATGAGTTTAGCATCCACATACAGAACGGGACAAATGTTTGGAGACACTTCACTAAATATTTATTTTAATAAATTATTAGTTTGTGTGCGTATGTATTGATATATGGCTATAGATATGAATGGTTAAATCAAACTGGTTAGGAAAAAGCAGACAACACAAAAGAGTTCTGTTCCTATTGTTTACAAAGCATCCCAGGACGCACCTGCAGAGCTGGTATCTAGACAAGAGTGGCTATATAATATATATATACTTTTTTTTTCATTTGACATCTAATTCCCATACTTACATTTGCGTTATTCGATCATTTAAATCGCTTTTCCTATTAGACTAAAATGCTATTATATACTCAGTACAAATCCAACATAGGGTAATAAACGTGATAATTTCACAACTGAGACGTTACCGCACAGAAGCTATCAAAACCATCTTACCTTGCGTTTAAGCAATCTCCTTCCGTAAGACGCGTCTTTAATAAAGTCTTCCTCTATAGAAATGAGGCGCGTGAGAATCTCGAGCAGTCGCGCGAGGCAGCTCTCTCGCGCTCTCGCCGTGATCGTCTTCAGCCTGCGGGGCTCCTTCGTCAGCTCGCCCGGACGAACGGCTTCTTTACCGGCCAGTAAAGCACCTGAACACTGGCCCTCGCCATCTCTATTACTGGTCGTTGCGTGAGCTTGCAGTTCATTGAGGATGTTTAAAGCGTCGATCTGATGTGTTAAAGAGCAGAGCCCCATGTCTGCTGCCACCTGGTCAAGGACAGATCAGCAGCCTTGAGCAGAGTCACTGTTGAGAGAGAGAGAGAGAGAGAGAGAGAGAGAGAGAGAGAGGGGCTCTGGTCGAAACAACGCGACAAACGACCGGTTTTAAGTGTTTTTTCGCTTGGACAAGTGGTTTCTTTAACGACTTCCCCATTGTTTGTGTTTGTTGAGCGCTTGCTTACACATGCAAATGTGACCTGATAGTCCTGCCTCCTCCATCGAGATGCTCAGAAAAAGCAGTTAACTGAGATGTTAAAACGTTTTGAATAAACACAAAAAACAGAAACAGTTAGCATTTTAAAGCTTTCATTTATAATTTACTCTATTGGGGGGAAAAAATTAAGCCTAAACTAAGTTTGCTGCCAGATCAAGCAGGTTTTCAGAGTCACCCCCCAGCAGCACATTTGATGAATGTATTAAAGGGGTCATATGATGCAATTTACATTTGTCCTTTCGCTTTGGAGTGTTACAAGTTCTTGGTGCATAAAGAAGATCTGTAAAGTTGCAAAGACTAAAGTCTCAAATCCAAAGAGATATTCTTTATAAAAGTTAAGAGTCAACCACACCTACCTAAAACGTCTCGTTCTAACACGCCCCCACGTCTACATCACTATGTGGGAATATTTGCATAACACCACCCAAATGTTCACGCAAAGAAAGAAGGCTTAACTTTTATTCTCGCTGTAGTATTGTTGTTGCCGCCGCCGCCATGTCGTGAAGGTGCTGTGTTTCATTGTGAAAGCGAAACTACTTTGTTTGGCCTTCCAAAGAGGATATCTGCTTCGTAATAATCAAAAGTTTGGGGTAAGATAGATGATATTTTTACAATATTTTTTAAGATTGAATTGATCAAAAGTGATAGTAAAGATCTAGATTGGTACAAGGAATCTACTTAAAAATATAGTTCATTTGAACTTGAAAATAAAGTATTGCAAAAACATTGAACAGCACAAGTGTTTTCAACTGATAATATTAAGAAATGTTTTTTGAGCAGCAAATCAGAATGATTTCTGAAGGATCACGTGACACTGAAGACTGAAGTAATGATGATTTGGATGCACAGGAATAAATTACATTTTAAAATATATTAAATATAAACGTTACTGTAAATTGTAACAATATTATTGTATTTGCTGTATTTTTGATCAAACAAATGCTGCCTTGGTGAGCAAAAGGGCCTTATTTAAAAATAAAAATCTTACCAATCCCAAACTTTTGAATGGTAGTGCATACCTAAAAATACAGTGTAAACTCTCAGCCTATATTCAGATGCAGAAGCAGGTGACAGACGGAAGAGTCTCGACCACTGAGGTGGTAAATGCATTGAGATTTTCTTATGGCAACATGTCAAGAGTATTCTGGGGACATGCGAATTCTAGGAAGAACATTAGTTATCACCATAACCGCTAGCAGCATCATGTTGCGGATAACCGCACTCTTGTCTAGGGTCACTCATACTAGACATTATTATTAGACACCAGTCTGGAAATCCAAATAAGCACCAAGAAAAGGGCCAGCTTATGAGTTTAAACATGTTCTGTTGAGACACTTCACGACCATTTGTTTTTCTTGACTCCTGTCCATCACCCAGCCAGGAAGCAATGTTTGACTCTTTTAACATGGCAACACACAGCAGCTCTGAGTAAACAGCATCTCTGTGACAGTGATGGAGTGTGCGGAAACCTTCGTCTGACCTGTTCCCTTGAGGCATTGCAGTGTAGTGGTGAATCCTTTGGTGCGGGGCAGCAGGTGGTACTTCAGTTTTGGAAGGCCCTTACTCTCAGCCACTTGCATGCTTATCTGATGTTTCTTTTCCGTAAATCTTGTTCCTTCACAGTACAGCAGGAACTGCCAAACACACACACACCAGAGGATTTTAACTCCCGGGTCAGTGTTTAACACATTAATCCTATCACTTCATAATCTCTGCCTCTTGTTGCCAACGGAAACTTCCAATCAGAGCACGTCATAAGTGACCTCACCGCTGGAGTTACTCGCATGTCTAGTAACACTGACCCACATCCAAATAATGTGATGACAGAATAAATAAACACACTAACCTACATCATCTAAACAAGAATGACACTTTAGCACGTTAACACCGGGCTTGACATGGTGTTTGAGATACAGCTTGATTTCTTAGCCTCAATATGTTGGCTAGCAAGAGAGGCATCAGGGAAAAATATGAGACATGAGTCACATGACTCTGCCTCTGTAATTGTGTTTTACAGCAAGGTCAGAAATTATTATAATACAATCTTTGAAAGAGAAAACTTTTCTTGTGAACCGAGTATGGGGAAAAGTTCACTTTGCATTCACACTTCTTTGTGACTTCCATTTCATTTTTTTTGTTGCAGTCTCTGTGCCTTGTTTAAATGTCAGCACACCTTTACTGCGCTTGGTTTGCAGTTTATGTGCATATGTTGCCCAAGCACAGGACAAAAGTAACACCAAGCTCCAATTGCGAATTGAGTTAAAGTAATTTTATTAGGAACTGCAACATCACATGCTTTCAAACTGTAAAAACAAATAATTCACCAAAAACTACAATATAAAACATTTAACCCAACCCCACAACAAGGAAAAAGACTGAAGTACTGGTTAACCAAAATCTGCCTATCACCAATTGAATAGTTCTCAACCATTAAAAGAATATTTGCATGGGTTTAGAGATTTACAAGGTCAATTTGAGGTTATCCCTATATTTGACAGCAACAATTCATCAAATACTCAGTACACATCTCCATGGTGAAGAGAAAAGGCTTAAGTCAAAGCTCTTGTTAATTATCAGGTCATTAGAGCGTCCTAATCGCTCAGTGTACTCACCCACATGCATTCTGGGTAATCTCGGAGACAGTTCAGCCCACTGAACACAGTTTCTCTGTCCTCCTCCCACTTCCGCGTACAGAAAACTATTTCCAAGAAGTACCACGTCCAGCCGATCAGAGGAACTTTCAGCAGTTCGTGTTTTGCCAGAACCTTAGAACTCTGGAGAAGGAAAAAAAAAATCGAATTAAAGGGAGGATAAAAAATGCAAAAAAGGAATCAGAGAGGAAGGAAGAGAGGAGAGAGAAGAATTCAAATCAGCCACTCAATCAAAACAAATAAATCCAACATCACAACTCATCCAAGAGAGAAAAGTCAAATTGATCTCTTGGGATTGAGGCTCATGACGACTACGATTTCGAAACACAGAACAAAAATGGATGATGACTGCAGTTTTTGCTATTGTTAACTAAAACTACTAAAAAGCATTGTAGTTCATTTAAATAAAAATAAAATTATAAATAAAACAAAGTTTAAATGAAAATTTGAAATGCTACCTTGGCAACTAATTGAAAAAATATTTATTTGAATACAAGTTTACATTTTATTTGAAAGTACATAAAAATTTTTTTTTTTTTAAATGTTGACACTAAAATCACTAAACCTGAAATAAAAGCTAAATAGAAAGATTTAAAAATTACATATATAAAACGACAAAGATTTTAGTACATTTATTATGTGCTTACTTAAAATTAAAATAAAAAAGGCAATTCAAAATATTAATAAATACAGAATGCATATACACACACAAACACACATATACATGCATACATATATCAAATAAAATGCCACTGCACAAAGCATAACCTGGCCATCACAGGTCCCAACACAAGCGATGTCTCATATTGTATATAGCAGAATTATGCAAATGTAATATGTTTTCAGCCAAATGTAATTTTAAAAGATACTGTGATGCAGTTCATTCCCAATACTAGTTTCACTGCATGCAAGTACTGATGGGGAACAACTCCACAATTAAAAAATCATTTCACCCAGTATCCATGCGTGACATGATTTTTGTTCTTCAAAATAGTATCTTCTAATATCCAAATTAAATGGTGTGCAGAATGCTTTTTGCATCATTTGCACAATTTTCTGTTGAAGAAGCTACATTGAAGAAGCTAGTCACACATTCATCAGTTTCCATTTTAGTTTGGATGCAAGTCGAGAGTGATTCAGCTCACAAAGTATTGAGACACAGGCCTACATGAATGTCACATCTCAAAACTAACACCATCCTTCACAACTTGCCACTTCACTATGTTGTCTTCACTGATTGTCATGACTCACCCCCAGTATGCCGTATCTCTCACACATGGTCCAGCCACACAGGAAGTCGATCTCATAGTTGTGATTGAGGATGATGACGACGTGCTCTTTACCAAACTTATCCACCGTGGCCTGTTCAGTGTAGAGTGTGCACTCTGTGCCAGACCACCACTCTAAAAGCATCACCAACTCTGTTAAGAAAGTAGTATAAAAGTGTGTCAAGCAGGTGTTATGATGCCAGGTGCGTTAGAAAGATCTATATTGTGACAAGCGCCATGCAAATTGTTGTCTCCCCTGAAATAAATAGCTTCTGCTTATATAATTCTCATCTATAAATTGCTCCAGATAAAAGCGTCTACTAAATGAACAAATGTAAATGCAAATCAATTTCAACTGATGCTTGTCACACGACACACATAACACTAGAATTAAAAAATAGAATTTTAATTTGTTTTTTCTTTTTTATTCAAAATATTCAAAAATTGGTTACCATGTCATCAACTATCTTGAGTGTGTTTTGTCTCATAAAAACCTTTATAAATGTACTTGATCTATAACATGAGATGGGCACTGCCATGTTTGTTTCGCACTGCAGTTCAGAGAGTCCTGTCAAATTTACAGCACGTGAATTCATCAATTTCTCCCGAAATACATGCAAGTAAGTGGCCAGTGAACTGGGAGAATAATAGATTGAACTATATAGAGTAATAGAGTGTAACTTATAGTCACTTACACTCTTTATCTGATATGAATAAAACACGTTGGCAAATTATATTTGAATGGATTATTACTGCTTCCATAGACATCAGTGTGTATTTTTCAAACTCTAAATGTATTGTTTTACTAGTACGTATGTTTACTTAAAGGGTTAGTTCATCCAAAAATGAAAATTAGCCCATATATTACTCACCCTCAAGTCATCCTAGGTGTATAAGACTTTCTTGTGAACAAAGGCCTCCTGTAGCGAATCGATGCATTTTTGTAAGAAATATATCCATATTCAAAACGTAATAATCACTTTGATGTAGCTTGCGCCAACAGTTCTACATGAAAGCAGTTCCGGGAGCATGACGTATGAGGTCAGTGCTGCGCATGCGCCGCTCAGAACTGACGAACACAGAAGCGCAGGGCAGAGATCAAAACAAAACATTTTATCAAAAAAGGATTTCGATATAAGCCAAGAGGAGACTGGTTTTCCTTTGCTAAAGTAAGGAAACTTTGCTTCCTTTGCTAAAATATATCCATATTCAAAACGTAATAATCACTTTGATGTAGCTTGCGCCAACAGTTCTACATGAAAGCAGTTCCGGGAGCATGACGTATGAGGTCAGTGCTGCGCATGCGCCGCTCAGAACTGACGAACACAGAAGCGCAGGGCAGAGATCAAAACAAAACATTTTATCAAAAAAGGATTTCGATATAAGCCAAGAGGAGACTGGTTTTCCTTTGCTAAAGTAAGGAAACTTTGCTTCCTTTGCTAACAAACGTTGGTTTTCACGAGACTCACCGGCGCATGCGCAACGCTGAACTCATACGTCATCAGCCCGGAGCTGCTTCCGTGTATGACTGTTGCAAGCTACATTAAAGTGATTATTACGTTTTGAATTTGGATATTTTTCTTTCAAAAACGCATCGCTACAGGAGGCCTTTGTTCACCCCCGGAGCCGTGCGAGACACTTCTTTTTTATGGATGGGTGCTTTTTATTTAACTTCTTTTGGACTGATGCATGCAACACCCGCTGAGTGGCATTAAACAGCTTGAAAGATCAAATACTATTTTTAATATAACTCCGACTGGATTCGTCTGAAAGAAGAAAGTCATATACACCTAGGATGGGTGAGTAATTTATGGGCTAATTTTCATTTTTGGGTGAACTAACCCTTTAAATGTCTGAAATTTAAACTAAACATTATTTGGTTGAAAACACTGCATAGTTGTGATTATATGACAAGCGCTGAGCTCGTCCGTCTCTGGCTCATCATCAGCCAAAGCGCGAAAGCACAGTTTAAATCTAGCAGTTATGTGACGTCACTGAACATTCTAAAACCCATATGTGAGACCGTACTCCCAGGGGCTCAGAAATAACAATCCCACATGTGGGACCGTGCCGCTCTAAGGGTTAAAGACATTTTTAAAAACATTAAGTGATATCCATTCACAAATGCTTTATATATTACAGTAATAGGTACCCAGCTCTGGAATAAATGCACTAAAGAGCACCTACAACGTTCTCATTAACAAGGTAAACAAAAATGTACTTGCTATACGGTCTGTAAAAACATTGAGCTGAGCCAAAAAAACAACTCACGGCTCCATAGCGAGTAGGCGAGTCTGGTGTTGATCTTGCGGTACAGCTGTTTGTTGATGGGCCACAGCACACAGGTACACAGCTGGGTGAAGTTGAGAATGAGACCGCTCACCACAAACACAAAACCAATCAAGAGCTGCAGTATGAACAGGCTCTTCAGCCACGCCACCACACCCATGACTGAGAGCCCCTTCCACACACACACACCACACACCCACACACACACACACACACACACACACACACACACACACACACACACTGCTGGAAGACCAGAGAGACAGAGACGACACCAAATTAAAACTTCATCAGATAATTAAACAGGATTTGTTGTAATTTTTTTTTAAAACACATCGTTTTCCCCCCCCACAAAATGTACATGGATTGATCAGACAATTCTTAAAAAGAAATATTATATATATATATATATATATATTTCCATAAAAATACATACATATTCAACTTCAAATCACATGTGGCTGATCACAAAAAAGTAAACCAATTGGTAGCAAATTAGTGTTATTTACTCAAAGCAATTTTTGTTCATATTTGGGGGTTGCCAATAGCTAATTTAGGGCACTGACTGGAATATTTCTATTTTTGTTAGTTCGACTGTCTGCGTTTGCTATATAGACTTTCAAAGCAAAGGTTTGCAACATAACCAAACTATTTAGTTGACCAAGCAAAAATAAACAACATAGCTAATCATTGTGTCAGTTACACAAAATATATTAACATATAAACGCAACATCAAACTTTCAACCATTCCGCAATGAATAAATGCACAAATATAAGTGCTGATCTATATATTATTGGTAGCATTTGCATGAGAATCATGGAATTTGTATCAGTCAATCCAGTTGTCCTCTTAAACTCATGTTTAATATGTTATTAAGTATAATCATCTCAGTTATCTACATCAATATCATGAATGGATGTTTAACTCACCACAGCGGGTTTGTCTCTACAATCCTCTTTTACACGGCCCTTCACTTAGTACCACCGACCTGAGAGAAAACGAGACAGAGCACATTTAGAGAATGCATGAATGCAACTGTTACCAGCAACACATTTAGTCCTGCTTATTTTTACTTCCACATCCTGTTCCAAGATACGAAAATCCACTGTAAAGTAGGCGAGAGTTCATGACCACAGGCCCTTGGGCACCAAAAACTCCATATGCACCAGCACTGCACACACATACAGCTGCACGACAAACACACACCCCGCACAAACACACACCCTCTCACCCAGTTGGAGGAACTCCAAACACCTCCTCCAATTTCGCTCTCTTGCATGCACTGACTGCCTCGTTTTTGCAACCTCTTTTCCCCCAACTGTATCTCTCACTCCATTATTATATTGCAGGCAGCATCTCGACGTGACTTGTCATGTACAAAAATCCCACTCTGAAAAACATCACACAAACGCTCTCATTGGATCTGAAGGTCTCTGGTTTCAAACTGATTTTGAAAGCTTATCAAGCTTTAATCTCCCAGCACCGCTTAATCCGATAACAAGACAACAACTGCAAGCGAAAGACTGGAATAATCCTCTAACTAAATGTGTGCCTCAGCAAATTTATTTGCCAAATAATCTTTTAAAGCATTGCTTAACCAAATGAAAAGAGAGGACTGAAGCTCAGTGCTTCCTTGCAGGTTTATCTGATACTCAGAATGAAGTTGCCTAACGCAACTACTTAACCTGGCCATCTTGTAACCTGCAGGAGCCCTGTCTGACCCCATCAATACTATAATTTTCTCTGTTAGTACGTGTCGACTCTGATAACAAAGTTCAGTTCAGTCAACCATCCTACTACACTAACTGATATCATTTCAAAGTGTAAAACACCAATTCTGCTCAACGACCCATACATTCAGGCCAACATTATCATATACCTGCTGTTTTTGTATATGTAAAATCCCTGTTGTGAGTGAGCAGCTAGGGTTGTCGCAGTGAGGGAATTTCCCTTGCGGTCATTTTGAGTTGCTCAATAGCGCGGTATGCGGTATTATCGCTATACATATATATATATATATATACACACACATATACACATATATATATATACACACACATATACACATATATATATATACACACACATATACACATATATATATATACACACACATATACACATATATATATATACACACACATATACACATATATATATATACACACACATATACACATATATATATATACACACACATATACAAGCGCCACTTTAGAAGGCTCAGCTGACCAGCTATGCGTCGATACTAAGACAGAGATTTCGCTTTCCTTGTACATGACAACCCATTTTCACAAATATATATGACTCGGCCTGGAGGACAGACGCAAGTAATCGCACGCGCTCAGTCGATCTCTCTCTCATTCACTGCCTGTTTAGGCTTGTTAAGTGTAAAATTTACAGAGCCTCTGTACAAATCAGCATGGTACCCATTATGTTATCATTACTAACTTGTTTAATATTCAGTCCACATGCATGAAGTGTAAAACGAGAAGGGCATAACCTTACGAAAAAAGAAAACACGCAAAAATCGCGGTTGCTGCGGTTATTGCATTCCTCTGCGGTTTGCTCGTCAATAGCGCGGTATTGCGGTTATCGCGACAGCTCTACAAGCAGCTAGCAAAATGTTTATGGTGGATTAGGAGAGTATTTAGATCTAATCTGAATGACGCCTTACAAAGATAAACAATGATTCTGAACTCAATCTGAAGATGTACAAACATTACAATCTGCCAAATCTACGTGCCTTTTCAAACAAACACAAAACAATCACGTTACAACTTGTGGGCAGCGGTTAAAAATGTATACCTACAAAGCTTGGGTTCCTGCACCAACACATCAGCCAAGACAAACAAAACACAAACAGCTCTAACCACACATGAAGACCGACTGAAGGAAGAAAAATTAGAGGGTGCGAATGCGAAAGGAATGAGTTGAACTCTGTCCTGCTATTTATTACTGCACAAACTAAAGTAAACTTTGGAACCCTACCAAAGTGTGTGTGTGTGTGTGTGTCTGTGTTTGAGATCAAGGGAATGGCAGAGTGCTCTAAATGCCCCCCCCCCCCGGTGACAGCTGGTGTGTTGCACTAGGTGTGTGAGGGGGAATGTGTATATGCATTCTGAGGGATCACCTGATCAACTTGTTAGAGCAAAGTACTTTCTCAGCCAACAAGAAATATGAGCAACTGTATGACTAATACACCAAACCCCTTTCACACCACGCGTTGATCCCGGAAAATTGCCAGAGTGCCTTCTGTGTGAACGTAAGCTTGTCCTGGGAATCCGGGATCGTTTCCAGGATGGGGACCTAGTAACAAAAGGCAGGGCCAATGCCATAAAGGGTGTGTCGTAGTGATGATGCATGTTATCGTGCGACTCTTTTACCGGGTGTTTTGAAGGCAGATCAACATTCACGATGAAAAAAATATGTGCAAACTGGAATGAAGCACTGATCTGTGAGCTCCTCCTCACTATCCGCGCTGAAGCTGAGATTGTTCGCCAGCTTAGTGAAATGGTACGCGTCACATTACACATCACATCGTAATGTCATGTGTGTATTTACGGGATCTTTACAGGATGTGTGAATGCGCAGATTCCGGAAAATCATTGGCAGTGTGAATGAACCAAAATCGATTGATCCCAGGACAAATCATGGGACACATTATCAATGTATTTTAAATTGGAGAGTACCCAAGAGCGTAATCGACGTAATCAGCGTTGTTTACACTGGGGGAGAAAGCGCACGCATGAACGTAATCTGCGTAATCAGCGTTGTTTATGCTTAGGGGAAAGCGTGCGTATGTGTTGTGATACTCTAAAATGGCGGAAGACATAACTCGGGGGAGAAGAATGGTTGAAAAAACGAAGGTGAACGAAGGTCTTATGGGTTTGGAACGACATGAGGGAGAGTAATTAATGACAGCATTTTCATTTTTGGGTGAACTAACCCTTTAAAGAAAAGAATATACAGATAAAAAAAAATGAAACCGACACCGCATGGCCTTTCAGTCGTTCTAGAGACAACCAAGCAACAGGTGGTCACCATAGTGCCCTAAACACCCTCAAACATGACAGGTGTGCAAATAACTTCAAACTAACAAATTAAAGTCTTAGGCAAGGAGTCTCTCTTTTGATCTTTGCCTGTGTCCCATCCAATAACCCATTACATAAACTGCAGGTGGCCTAATCAATCCACTGTTGCTTTGGATAACCGTTAGCTGGACTCACCAGTAGGTGTAGTAGGCCACTGCCATGACCACTAACGCCCCACAGATCCCTGTGAAGATCATCACAGCCCCCTGGTTCAGCATCTCCGCTTCTGGTGATGGGCCTTCAAAGCAGAATAATTATGAAATTAGCCGCCTCTGGTTTCGTTCAAAAATGGACAGGCGATTCTGTTCTCGACAAGCTTGGAGACAAATGAATGAAGGTACAGAAAGTGCTCCTGAAAATATTTGGCAAAGAAATCCTTTTAAAAAGTTGAACGCGACGCTAGGTCTCGCTTTGCCTAAAGCCACATGCTAATGCTAATCCCACAGAAGGAGAGGACTTTTATGATGATGCAAGCAGGAACAAAACTAGATCCCATAAAGGTGGCAGCACTACTCAAAACCACACACCAGCGGATGTAAAAAGTGAGTCTTTCGATGCTGAACTCCAACTGGATGCTGTTACCAATTGCTGGCCCAAATTCAAAACACAGTTCTGGTTAGCGAATCCTTAGCGAGACGCAACAGTCCTACAGCATAACGTGGGCATAGCAGCCACCTTCTGTTAAGCCAGAGAGAGCCGTTCTCAGCATCCTGTGTTCCCTCCTCTTCTCTAATCTCCTCTGGATTAGATTACCAATGATTAGCACTATGGAGCAGCACCCTGGATATGTCACATCGCATTTACATCAACTTCAGGATTGAGCTAAGTGGGACAGGACAGTGGTGACTTCCTTTAGTCACCAGGAGGAGCCTCTAGGGACAAGGCCACTCTCTGGCATTTAAAAGATCTTGTACAAGGAGGCATGATATGTTTCGGTAGTGGTTCTGACGACTTGTGGGTGCTGTAGTATGCTGGACTTGTTCTTGGCATCCAAGGTCGACAAGGCCCTAAGTCCAGTTTAGATGAGGTGGTGACAGAGAAGACCAGGCTGGTTGTGGCCCAAAGCCATGACTGCACAACTGCATTACTGGCACAGACGGAGAACCCAATGTGCCACAGGCTTACACATCACACGTTCTGCTTCTGTTGGTCACTTTATCTCATTATTTCTTCTGTCTTCTTTCATCTTTGTCCGTCTGTCTTTGATTATAGTATGCAGGTGATTCCAGTATCCCTGCATTATAACTCAGATTCCTAAGTTCTTCCAATTTCAGAGAGGTCAGCATAACTGCATGCATCCAGGAATTGATGTGCAATGATGGCGGTTTCTCAAATGAAAGACCCTGGCATGGTCTCGGAAAATACCTATGTGCTCCTAAATCCATACGTTGGGGAAAAGAAGACAAAGAATAATCACCTTTCTGATGTGATGACCACCTGGGAAATATGAGGACAGAAAGGAGCAAAGGAGCCGTACTAACTTGCATGTTATAATAAATGTTGAAAGAAAGATAAATGAAGATCTTGAATTTTTTGGGTCAGCAATAAATCAAAACGTGAAACTAGGGGTAATTATGGTTTGCCATAAGTTTGTGTGATGTGAGTTGACCTTTGGTTGCTGAGCTGTAATCAATGGGAAAACCCTTTCAGAGAGTCCACGTATTCTTGAATGTGCAAAGTGCCTTTTTCAATATCTTGTAAAGACTTCGCCTGATAAGGTGTGTAGCATAAAACTCATACATTATGAGCCATATTAGACCAAAGCAGCTTACTGAACTGCAGCTGAGGTCAAGATGTCTAAATCTATAATCTAATCAGTATCCTACACATACAAATAAACAAACACTTCTAAAAAATCTTTAAACAACTGGTGAAATAGCAGGGCTGAGCAGGGCAAGCTGTGGCAGGATAACTCAACCAAAAATGATATTTTAGTCATTATTTCCTCATCCTCTTGTTGTATCTTTGTTCTGTTATTCATCTATGCTTGTAATTTGTTTATTTCCTATGCTGATTTACTCGCCTACAAAATCACCCCAATTATTGATTATTTTTTCCCAAATATTAAGCTATTGAAGTCAACTGATTTTTTTCCATATCGCAGAAGAAAAAAAATATCGCAATGTGAGTTTTTTCCAATATCATGCAGCCCTAGATTGAACAAACAAAGACATTATCATTCCAAATTTCAACCACCAATAGTTTCTTTGCATTTCCCCAAACTTTTGTAGATACATTTATATCCTTTCAACTGCAATTTTTACAAGAGCTCTCCTTAGATACTGACTCAAATATATCATGGAAAATGTCAGTTAACTTTGCTACCGTGTCTCAGCAAATTCTACAGACTCATCAAAAATGCATACAAATGATGAACATTATCAACAGGCAGGAATTGTGCTTTTGGTCTCTTAGCTTTGCCAGACTGAACATCACCATCATTATAAGGGACTCAGTGGTCAATAATTCTCAGTGGGCCAGTGCACAGTGTGCTTTCAGTCCTAGTACACCAGGAGTCTCACACATAGGCCAAAACCTTGTACAAGAACAAAAACATATGCCAATTAGCACCCACACATTGGCATTTATAAACAAACAAACAAACCTGTTACCCGACTAGGGGTGTGAACCTACACTGGTCTCACGGTTCGGTTACGATTATCATGTAATCGATTCGGTTCAATTCGATATCATGATGCATCACAATGCATTGACAATGCACTGCACCCTCACATTTATACAATTTTGCCAATAAATACAAGCAGTCAGATATATGAACTATACCTGACCTGGTTTCTTAAGTTAGTAACTTAGACAGTCTTAAATCTGTCTTTGTATTTAAAATGGATAAAAACCATTTCTTAATTGCAAAAAATGCTCTATTTATCAAGGAAAACCAACAATATTTATTCAACTGTGTTAGCTGATTTTAGTTACAAAGTCTTTACCAATAAATTAATGTGATAAAATTACAACTGTGGTCAATTTGGGCATCCATGTATAATCTTTTATTCATACACGTTTCGGGTGACACTAAAGAAGCAGGCTGCTCACACGATTCACCGATCTCGAGAAATAGATATGACATCTCTTGCACACAATTAGTAGAAGAACGGACCACTGCAGACTCAAAACTTGTGCTTGGACTCAACTGAATAGTACTGTACAATCCACTTTTTACTGTACTGCACAACATTACTGGTTTCCCTTCCCTCCCGGCCACAACCTCATCTCTGGCCTTTCTAACATTGTGGTCAATGTAGCAGCAATTCAACAACATTTGGATGAAACCCAAGATTTGTTCAATTGGGTTGCTGTGGTGAGGAGATTTCCAACTTTTACATTACTTTTCCTGATATAGATATGGTGTTGCAAATAATCTTAAATAATTACGTAAAAAATGCATTTAGCAGCACATTATTCTCACCACTGATCCACTTAGAGTGTTTGATGACATCAATTGATACCGTTTCTATCACCTGCACTAAAACATTATTTCCTTAATATCTTAAACCTCCCAGATCCGACTAGCCTGAAACAGACCAACGGCCATAAAAAATAAAAAAAACTCCTGTGGCTGAAACAAACAAAATCAAACCCATTATGGTGCTTGTCAGTCAAGCCCTTTTTACAAAACAGAAGATAAATACTCTGTTTGCTGTCCAAAGGAAGCAGGGAGCTGTTAAGAGGATAATGTCAAGGTGTCACTGTTATAAACCTCTGACTCACATTCTAATCATGAAAAACGAAGTTGGCCAACAACAATAATATGACTACATGCCCCCAATCAAGATGGTGGATGGGGTTGCTGTTATCTACCTCAGGCGCAAAGTAACAGTGTTAGGTTTAATTAACCAGCTGAATCGGATTAAAGGTAAGGTTAGAAAGGATTGAAACAGAGCAGTGTCATGGATATAGTGTGACATAAAATAATACATAATATATATCCTATTTTTAAAATACTCCCAATTACACGCAATTACACATTGTTCTGGCACAAATAAAAAGTACTACAATTGAAAAAGAACTATACATTTATTATAAACAACTTTATTTACATGTGCTTTCTAACTGAACCTGGTCAAAATGAGCATCACTGCATAACTGATTCAATAACATCTTTTATTGTGAGCCAATTCATTATTGCTCTAATGAAAGAGGATTAATAAATGTTGTGCATGTGCCATATGGCTGGCAAAGAATGACAGGTTTGGATTAAGTCCAAAGTATAAATGATTTGCACATAGTGAAACATAGGGTTCCAAGTATTGAAACAGATCCATTAACAAAATGTTGCTTTTGCAACCCATTAATTCATTGCCCTTAATAATATATTTAAATTAAAATACAAAAAAAAGAGGTAAAATTTCATTCATTTATTAATTTAGATACAAAATCATGTAGTGAGTTTGAATCAGTCCTCATGAAAGTCCTGACATGCAATTCAGTGAATAATTCAAGAACCGCTCCGACTGATTCATACATGCTTTTGATTCACTGAAACCAAGCCGGTTCATAATGCCACCAACACACTACATGTTTATTGCCTGATTTTACGTTCACTGACAGCTAATTAAGACCAACAAAAGCCTGAAATCCAAAGTAAATCAGCGCTCATTCAAGTGAGTGACAACCGCTATGTTTGAATTGTCAAAAGAAACGATCTGGATTAAGCGCCGATACGTCGCTGAAGCTCGAAAGATATTCAGCGGTTTAACTTTGTATCTGTCTGCATTCCAAGTCCTGTAGTGTGAAATTTGTTTCGACCGTTGTTGTTATTATTGTTAATGAAACCGGAACTGGAGTTAAAAAAAGCCTTTTAAAAATGAGAGAAAATTTAAATAATCACTAATAATAGGAACAATTAGCATAACATATTAAACACCCAAATACAGTTACACATATGCGCTGGAATTATACAAAAACATGACTAATATTATTCACTGTGCATTAGGGCTGAACGATTTTGCAAAATAATCTAATTGCGATTTCTTTTTAAACGATATTGCGATTTAATATGCAATTATTTTTTTTAAAGCTCTTTATGTTCTGTATTATTCAACAAAGACAAGCTATAAATCATTGTATAGTATGCTCAACACACTATTAGATAGCTTAAACCCAAATGTTCATTTCTCTAAGCCAAGCCTATACGTTACGATGAAATTAGGTGATGCATGAATTGATATGAATAACATTTTTATTTAACAACTACAATCACAGTATATTGACTGATTTGTTGAACTTCCAACCTTGTAAGCATGTAATAAGTATGTTTAAATAGCCTGGTGTAAACATTAAAATGAAAGTCAGTAACAAATCACACAAACTAAAGTAGATTGCAGAAATATAAAAACACAGCTGTTGCTTTACCACACTACTTTAGGTTATTAAAAGTCACTGTAATAAACATATGTAAACATGTGCACTGCACTTTTTAAACACTGTCTGTTAACTTTAGACCAGTGCTTCTCAAACTTTTTTGGTTGCGCCCCCCTCAGACTACCAAATAATTTCACTAAACATTATGAAAAATTCATGTTTTTTTAATTTAAAAAACCTACAGGGAAAAAAACACCTGCATCACTTGAAACATTGAAAAATAGCATAGAGAGAATAACTTATTATTATTCTCTCTCTTAATTATTTATTTTTTGTGGGTTTCTTGCGGTCCGCTAAGGCATAGGACACACAGGCTTTCCTCCT